GTGGATGCAGGGGCCCAAGGACTTGGGCCATCCTCTACTGCTTTCCCGGGCCACAGCAGAGAGCTGGACTGGATTGGAAGTGGAGCAGCTGGGACTCAAACTGGCACCCACATGGGATGCTGGCATTGTAGGCGGTGGCCCCACCCACTATACCACAATGTTGGCCCTAACAAATACACTTCTTTTTTTTTTTTTTTTTTGTCAGGCAGAGTGGACAGTGAGAGAGAGAAACAGAGAGAAAGGTCTTCCTTTGCCGTTGGTTCACCCTCCAATGGCCGCCGCTGCTGGCGCACCGCGCTGATCCGATGCCAGGAGCCAGGAGCCAGGTGCTTTTCCTGGTCTCCCATAGGGTGCAGGGCCCAAGCACCTGGGCCATCCTCCACTGCACTCCCTGGCCACAGCAGAGAGCTGGCCTGGAAGAGGGGCAACCGGGACAGAATCCGGTGCCCCGACCGGGACTAGAACCCGGTGTGCCGGCGCCGCTAGGCGGAGGATTAGCCTAGTGAGCCGCGGCGCCAGCCTACAAATACACTTCTAATCTTGAGACTTTGATGTCTTTACCTATGAAATTGGAAGGGTAATAATACTATTATGTATTATTACTTAATAAATATCACTGGGACAGGTGTTTGATGTGGCTGTTAAGACACCACTTGGGCCAACTGTGTGCTGTATTGTAATGTTTGGGAAAAATCCTGGTTGCATTCCCAATTCCCAGATCCTGCTGATGCATACTCTGGAAGGCAGCAAGTTATGGCTCAATTAGTTGGGAGACCTAGATTTAGTTCCAGTCTTCAGCCTAGCCCAGCCCTGGTTGTTATGGACATTTGGAGAGTGAACTAATGGATGGGAGATCTCTCTGTTTCTGTTTTTCTGCCTTTCAGATAAATAAATAAATAATATAATGTATGTGTGTATATATATATATAAATATCACTGATAGGAGCATATCCTGCCTGCAGCCTTCTGGAACCAGAAGAAGGAATGAAGACTGCTGCTGTAGTTAAGAGTGAAGTCATCACTTGATGAAGGTGGTCTTCTTTGATAGATCTGTTTTGAAATTGGAGTTTGAGTTGTGCTTACTTTAAGAAGACATCTTTAACTGTAATCTGTTGGTGGTCTTTTCCAGTGGATTGCTTTAAAACAAGATTTGTCTTGCTAGAGAATTACTTCTTTGCCTAAGTGGAACTCACCATCAGACATAAGGTTGTACTTTTAGGACTTTACATACCTTAAAGTGTATAGGTTGGACCATCTATGGATATGGAAAGAATTAGGGACAGTTTTGAATCTTTTTTTTTTTTTCCAGGTAATTCTAGGAGATCATTTCAACATTGGCAATGGCTAGTGGTCAGTAAAACTAGAACTGCAGAGAAGACAAGGACTGGGGTAACTTGAATTAGTTGAAAATGTTTGTTTCTGCATTTGTTTCCCACAAGCTTCTTTTGAAAATGCTGTGGGGTCTTTGGAGTGGAATGGTCATGGTAAACCCAAGTAATTCAAAAATAATATTTTTTCCTATTTTTTCTTGTGTTTCTTTTATTTTAAATTTACCCCCCAGTGACAGATGTTCTGTTTACAAGGGTTTACTATTTTGATCAATTTTTAAAGCCTAGTGTGTTAGATCCCTAGCAAAGAAAGAGTACACTTAGCTTTGAAACCAGAAATGAAAAGGTATTTCCCTTAGAGCAGTTATCTACTTGTTTTTGAAGTTAGTTCAGACGCTGTGCCCCTTGGGAAGCACCTGACCAGAGCAGGGTTCAGCTCTGTGTGCTTGCAGCATACAGCTTTAAAGAGCAGCCGCCCTGTAGTGGTGTCACCTCAATAGGAGTTGGAATTTTGAAAATTTTCAGTCACATTTCTGATCAAACCCTATTCTGATGCAAATGTTCCTAGTTTTGTATAGTATTTTCTCTTTCGTTTTATAATTCCCTGAGAGTTGAGAGAAGTGTTTGTTACTCCTTTTTTATTTATGTATTTATTTATTTTTTTACAGGCAGAGTGGACAGTGAGAGAGAGAGAGAAAGGTCTTTCTTTTCTGTTGGTTCACCCCGCCAATGGCCGCTGCGGCTGGCGCACTGCGGCCAACGCACTGCGCTGATCCAAAGCCAAGAGCCAGGTGCTTCTCCTGGTCTCCCATGCAGGTACAGGGCCCAAGCACTTGGGCCATCCTCCACTGCACTCCCGGGCCACAGCAGAGAGCTGGACTGGAAGAGAGGCAACCGGGACAGAATCTGGCGCCCCAACCAGGACTAGAACCCGGGGTGCCAGCGCCACAGGCAGAGGATTAGCCTATTGAGCCACGGTGCCAGCAATGTTACTCCTTTATTTACAGAGAGATTTTTGACCTCCCCATAAGGAATTCGGAACCAGGCCTGCCCAGTGGGTTGCCATACTGACTAGGTTTTCAGGCTTGGCTTTGTACACACCTTTGTCCTAATTTCATTAATCACCTTGCTTGGAAGTAGGTCTTCATGGAATTGATTGATTGTGAGGCTGTCTTTTTTTTTTTTTTTTAAAGATTTATTTACTTATTTGAAAAACAGAGAGTGAGCGAGAGCGAGCATTTCCATCTGCTGCTTCACTCCCCAAATGGCCATAATGGCTGGAGCTCGGCTGATCTGAAGCCAGGAGCCAAGAGCTTCTAACAGTTTATGTTGTCTGCAAATATTTTCCCCTAATATGTTGCCTGTCTTCTCATTCTCTTGACTTTTACAACCTTTCAAAAATATAAAAACCATTCTTAGTTTGTGGGCCATTCAAAAACAGGCCAAGAACCAAATCTGACTCATGGGCCATAGGTTACTGACTTGTGGTACAGTCATATCCCTGGAATGTGATCACAGCATAAATACCACAGCTGCTTATCAGGCCATAAAACACTTAACATTCAAAAAATGTACAGTTGTCCCCCTATTACAGTCTGTAAGAAATCCTCATGTTATGGATGAAACTAAAACCAGAAGATAGTAAAGTCATGAGCAAAGATAAAACCAGAGCTCAAGGACAGTAACCATTCCCAAACAACTTTCCTAAGGAAATCCTATTTCATGACCCTCTAAAAATGGAAGCCCAAATAATTCAGCACCATGAATACAACTTGCAGATGACAAGAAAGGTTTAAGACAACCTTATGGGGCTGGCACTGTGGTGCAATGGGTAGAGCCGCCACCTGCAGTGCTGGCATCCGTTAGGGGCACTGGTTTGAGTCCCAGCTGCTCCAATTCCAATCCAGCTCTCTGCTATGACTTGGGAAAGCAGTAGAGGATGGCCCAAGTTCTTGGGCCCTTGCACCCACATGGGAGACCCAGAAGAAGCTCCTGGCTTTGAATCAGCCCAGCTGTGGCCATTGTGGCATCTGGGGAGTGAATCAGTGGATGGAAGACCTCAATCTCTTTCTCTCTTCGTCTGCCTCTCTGTAACTCTGACTTTCAAATAAATAAATATATCTTTAAAAAACACACAAACACGGGCAGCGCCGCGGCTCAATAGGCTAATCCTCTACCTGCGGCGCTGGCACCCTGGGTTCTAGTCCCAGTCAGGGTGCCGGATTCTGTCCCAGTTGCTTCTCTTCCAGTCCAGCTCTCTGCTGCAGCCTGGGAGTGCAGTGGAGGATGGCCCAAGTGCTTGGACCCTGCACCCCATGGGAGACCAGGAGAAGCACCTGGCTCCTGCCGTCGGATCAGTGTGGTGCGCAGGCCGTGGCGGCCATTGGAGGGTGAACCAACGGCAAAGGAAGACCTTTCTCTCTGTCTCTCTCACTGTCCACTCTGCCTGTCCAAAAAAAAAAAAAAACCAAAAGCCACACAAACACACACACACACAGATACCTCACCGAAGAAGATAAACAGATGGCAAATTAGCAAATGAAAAGATCTTCAACATAAGTCATAATGGTTATTGCAAATTAAAACAAGATATCACTACAGACCTATTAGAATGGTCAAAATTCAAAACACTAACTATACCAAATGCTGGTGAACATGTAGAGCTGTAGGAACTCTTATGCATTGCTGAAGAAAATGGAGAGTGGTTCAGCCACTTTGGAAGAAGTTTGTTAGTTTCAAGTAGAACTTAACATATTCTTAACATGTAAATTCAGCAATCTCACTTCTTGATACTCAGCCACATAAATTGAAAACTTGTCTACACAAAAATCTGCACATGAATGTTTGTAGCAACTTTATAATTACCAAAACTTGGAAGCAACTAAGATACGTGCTTCAGTATGTGAGTGAATAAGTGGGGTGTATATTGACAATTGGCTATTATTCAGTGCTGGTAAGAAATGAACTTAAGAGAAGAGCTATCAAGACAAGAAGAAAGCTTAAGTTTTCTTAAGAAATGTAAGAAGCCAATCTGAAAATATAGATGTATATGATTTCAACCATGTGACATTTTAGAAAAGGAAAACTGAAGACAATAAGATCAGTGGTTGCCCAGGGTTGGCGGGGGTGGGAGGGAGTTGAATGGGCAGAGCACACAGGATTTTCAGGCAGTGAAACTATTGTGTTTGATACCGCAATGGTGGATACATCATACATTTGTGAAGACCTACAGAATGAACAACAGCAGTGAACTCCATTGTAGGCTGTGCACTTTAGATGATAATGATGTGTTGCTGAGGATTTCCCAGTTTTAACCAAGGTACGATGTGGTGCGGGATGTTAGGCATATGTAGGAACGGGGTATGAGATCTCTCTATTGTTTGCTCAGTTTTTCTGTGAACCTAAAACTGTAAGAAAATGAAATTCATTCCTAAGCAGCACAGATGAACAAAAAAAGGGTATTAGATAACAGAAACCCTGTGTTGTCCCTAAACCAAAAGTGTGTCATCTGACCTTTTACAGAGAAAGCTCTTCAAGCCCTGGCCTCTACCTGGGTGGGGCGAGGAGGGGAGGCATTTGTCTGTTGGGTGCTGTGCCTAGCCATCTCATTCTCCTGGGCCTTCAGTATCCCTAATGGGAAAGTTGTTCTTAGGAGTTTCTGTTTGTTTACAGGTATATGAGTGACCCAAAGCTGCAAATAAAGACGGGGAGAGAGCAGTGCCAACTTGGAGCAGGGCAAGGATGCCAATTCCTCCTCCCCCTCCACCCCCACCTGGTCCTCCTCCACCTCCCACTTTTAATCAGGTAGGTAGCCCTTGCACCAGGCCAACTCAAAACCTTTGAGGAAATGGATGGAATGGGCCTTACATTACTCTTTTTTTTCTTACCCCTTTTCTTAGAAAATTCTCGATGTTCCTACCCATAGCATTTTTATGGTGAACTGTTCTTTAATTCTAATTTTAGCATCCAAGATTTTTAGTCCTAGTATTAATTAATAAATACTTGGGGCTTCTATATAAGACATGTGCTCTAGGAAGATGACAAAGTAACAAGTTTGTCCTCATCAGCTAGTGGTGATTCTTGAGATGTCCTCTTTGGACCATAATGGATGTCTTGTTTCCTTGTCCTGGGTCCATTCTCAATGGAGATTTGAACAGGTGTCATTGGAGGAGGAGCAGCTAGTGTTTCCCCCTAAAACTATTTGCTCCATAAAAGTCAGCATGTCAGTTCTCTGGCATCCTTAAGAAAAAAGATAGGGATTCCTGGTGGTTGCTTTTTGCTGTTAAGTCAGTTCATTTTTAAAATCAAGTCCATCAATGCCCTATCAATAAGGAAAGAGTTCAGAAAATGTATTGGTAAGAAGATTAAAAGGTTCAACAATGAGAGGAAGAAAAGCAGTGTATTTTGTGACTCAAAAAGGTGGCCACTTTAATCATACCTGGATTGTGATCTGGTGTCACATGAGAAAGAATTTGTGTGCTTTCTCATTTCTGTGAAATTTAGAAATAAAAGCAACTTTAGAGAGAATGGCCCAGAGGTAGTAAAAGAAGTTCCCTATCTAATTTGTTTCAGAATTAGGATGGAATTCAGATCTGCCAACTTTTGATTTCTTCTCATAACGTCTGTTTTTCAGACATTTTTTAGGAACCCCATCTTAGATGAACTTTTGTATGGAAGCCCAATAAATGAAATAGATAAAGGCAGAGCTGCTCTGGCTATAGTTGGAGAAGAAAAGAAGGTAGTGGAAGAAGGCTTCCTGGCTGAGGGGGGAGCTGATGCTTGAATCGAGTCTTAAACAATGAGTAGAGTTCAGTCAGAAAGAAGAGGGAGGAGGGCACTTAATGTTGAGGAAGCAGACGGTAGAGAGATGCTGATGGTGAGAAAGATTGTAGAAGTTTGGATTAGTGCTTGGAGTGGATGAGCTGAGGAATGAGCTAGAGATATAGGCTCAGGGTTTTGAATTTTTCTTATGACAGTGGGGGAGATGTTGAAGTATTTTCAGCAGCAGGAGTAACCTGTTTGGATTTGTATTAGAAAGGTCACTTTGAACAAGATGGAAGATAGGGGATTGAGAAGGCTGTTACTGAAAATTGAGGGTCTTGGCCAGCGCCGCAGCTCACTAGGCTAATCCACCTGCGGTGCTGGCACCCCAGGTTCTAGTCCCGGTTGGGGCGCTGGATTCTGTCCCGGTTGCTCCTCTTCCAGTCCAGCTCTCTGCTGTGGCCCGGGAAGGCAGTGGAGGATGGCCCAAGTCCTTGGGCCCTGCACCTGCATGGAAGACCAGGAGAAGCACCTGGCTCCTGGCTGCAGATCGGCGCAGTGTGCCGGCTGCAGCGGCCATTGGGGGATGAACCAACGGAAAAAAAGGAAGACCTTTCTCTCTGTCTCTCTCTCTCACTGTCCACTCTGCCTGTCCAAAAAAAAAAAAAAGTAAAAAGAAAAGGAAAATTGACGGTCTCCATGGAAGCAAAGAGGATGAAGAGTGGAGACAAGAGATATTTAGAAAGTAAAATCTTGCAAGAATTTGATGACAGATGTGGGAGAGTGAGGAAGAGTTTAATGATTCTGGTTTGGGGGCTTGATTGAATGATGGTGTTGTTTACAAAGAGAAGTTTGTAGAGAAGAATGCAAACTCATTTTTGGACTTGTTTAAGTTTTCATGTGTGCATACCTTTTTTCTTTCCAAAATATACCGTTCATTGAGCTTTTTTTAAAATTTAAATATTTATTTATTTATTTATTTTTGACAGGCAGAGTTAGACATGAGAGAGAGAGACAGAGAGAAAGGTCTTCCTTTTCCGTTGGTTCACCCTGCAAATGCAAAGCCAGGAGCCAGGTGCTTATCCTGGTCTCCCATGGGGTGCAGGGCCCAAGCACTTGGGCCATCCTCCACTGCCTTCCCGGGCCACAGCAGAGAGCTGGACTGGAAGAGGAGCATCCGGTACAGAATCTGGTGCCCCAACCGGGACTGGAACCCGGGGTGCCGGCGCCACAGATGGATTAGCCTAGTGAGCTGCGGTGCTGGCCCTATTTATTTATGTGAAAGTCAGAGTTACAGAGAGAAGGAGAGAGAGAGAGAGAGAGAGGTCTTCCACCCGCTGGTTCATTCCCCGGTTGGCTGCATCGGCCCGAGCTGCGCTGATCCGAAGCCTAGAGCCAGGGGCTTCTTCTGGGTCACCCATGCAGGTGTAGGGACTCAAGGGTTTGGGCCATCTTCTGCTTTCCCAGGCCCTAGCAAAGAGCTGGACAGGAAATGGAGCAGCTAGGACTCAAACTGGTGCCCATATGGGATGCTGGCACTGCAGGCGGCAGCTTTACCCAGTAGGCCACAGTGCCAGCCCCCCATTTATTGAGCTTTTATACTCAATAGGCACTGTGCCTAGTGTTAGTTATTTCTCAGAACTACTCCCTGAGGTTATATTGTTTATGTTTTTTTTTTTTTTAATTTTTTTAAAGGTTTATTTATTTATTTGAAAGGCAGACTTACAGAGAGGCAGAGAGAGAAGTATTCCATCTGCTGGTTTACTCCCCAAATTTCTGCAGTGGCTGGAGCTGGGCTGATTTGAAGCCAGAAGCCAGGAGCTTCTTCTGGGTCTTCTATGTGGTACAGGGACCCAAGGACTTGGGCCGTTTTCCATTGCTTTCCTAGGCCATAGCAGAGAGCTGGATCAGAAGTGGAGCAGCCAGGACTCCAACCAGCACCCAAATGGGATGCCAGCACTGCAGGTGGCTGCTTTAACTGCTACACAATAGCACTAATTCCTGGTTTTTTTATTTTTTAAAAAAGGATTTATTTATTTGAAAGGCAGCGCAACAGAGAGAGAGAAATCTTCCATCCTCTTGATCACTTCCCAAATGCCTACAACAACCAGGTTTGGGCCAGGCCAAAGCCAGGAGCCAGGAATTCTATCTTGGTCTCCCACATGGGAGACAGGGACCCGAGTACTTAGACCATCTTCCTCTGCCTTCCATGGTGCATTAGCAGAAGCTGGATTGGAGTTGGAACTTTAATAGGCACTTCAGTATGGGATGCCCATATCACAGGTGGCAGCTTAACCAACTGCCCAACAATGCTTACCCCTGGAATCATTTTTAATGGCTTCCAAAAAATTCCCTTGAGTGTTTAAAATGCTCTACACTGTAAGTGTGTAATATTTAGCAAGTGTGTAATATTGTGTCTTCCCGTTCAGAAACATGAGGTTGATGTGTTGCATTTTAGGTGAGATGAGAGGTACATAAAATATGAAGCTTACTCTTTCCATGCCACCACGACGGTGTGCATGAATGTCCTGGCCAATGCTCTCAAGAGCATCAACAATGCCCTAAAAAGAGGCAGATGCCAAGTTCTTATTAGGATGTGCTCCAAAGTCATCATCAGGTTTCTACCTGTCATGATGAAGCATGGTTACATTGGTGGATTTGAAGTCACTAATGATGGTCACAGAGGCAGGAAAATTGTGAACCTCATGGGCAGGTTAAACAAATGTGGAGGCACCAGCACTGTGGTATAGTGGGTAAAGCTGCTGCCTGTGCTGCCGGCATCCCACATGGGCACTGGTTCAAGTCCCGGCTGCTCCACTTCCCATCCAGCTCTCTGTTATGGCCTGGAAAAGCAGTAGAAGATGGCCCAAGTCCTTGAACTCCCGCATCCATGTGGGAGACCTGGAAGAAGCTCCTGGCTCCTGGCTTCAGATGGGCACAGGTCGGCTGTTTTAGCCAACTGGGGAGTGAACCAGCTGATGGAAGACCTCTCCCTCTCCCCCTCTCCCTCTCCCTCTCCCTCCCCCTCCCCCTCTCCCTCTTTTATTCTGTGTAAAAATGCTTTCAAATAAATAAATAAATCTTTAAAAAAAAAAAAAAAAAGAAGTAGAGCATCTGGGATTCGACCTGGCTCCCATGTGGGATGCCGGCACTGCATAAGACAGCATAACCAACCACTATAATCCAAAAGTTGTACTTTTGAAATTTATATTTATTAAGTAAAAGTTTTATTTATATAAAAAAAAAGATGGCGTAACCCGCTATGCCACAGTGCCAGCCACGAGTGATGTTATAAATATCCAGATGGCCCTTGGCCGAAAAAAGGTTCCTTACCCTGGGCTGGCTATCTCCTGGAATCCAGTTTGGCATAACTCATTTATCCTGGACTTGCAATGGAGGGAATTATTTAGGTTGAACTTAAATTTCCCTCTTCCTCTAGGCCAACACAGAGCCGCCCAAGCTGAGTAGAGATGAGCAGCGAGGTCGAGGTGCCCTCTTACAGGACATATGCAAAGGGACCAAGCTGAAGAAGGTGACCAACGTTAATGACCGGAGTGCTCCCATCCTGGAGAGTGAGTCTAAGCTTCATTTCCTAGTGAACCATCAGGATCCCAAGATTGACTTCGAGATTGGGCTGGGCTGTTACTTCCAAAAAAATCATTTGGAGGAGGGAGAGAGAGAAAGAAAGAGAAAGAAATAGAAATATCTTTTTTTTTTTTTTTTTTTTATAGGCAGAGTGGACAGTGAGAGAGAGAGAGAAAAAGGTCTTCCTTTGCTGTTGGTTCACCCTCCAATGGCTGCCGCAGCCCACACGCTGCGGCCAGCGCACCACGCTGATCCGAAGGCAGGAGCCAGGTGCTTTTCCTGGTCTCCCATGGGGTGCAGGGCCCAAGCACTTGGGCCATCCTCCACTGCACTCCCGGGCCACAGCAGAGAACTGGCCTGGAAGAGGGGCAACCGGGACAGAATCCGGCGCCCCGACTGGGACTAGAACCCGGTGTGCTGGCGCCGCTAGGCGGAGGATTAGCCTGTTGAGCCGTGGCGCCGGCCCAGAAATACCTTTCAACTGGTTCATTCCCCACATTCTCAACAACAGCCAGGGCTGAGTCAGGCTAACACCATGAGCCAGAAACTCGATCTGGTCTCTCACGTGGGTAGCAGGGACCCAACTCCTTGAGGCATCACCTGCTGTCTCACAGGGTGTATGTCAGCAGGAAGCCAGAATTGGGAGTGGAGCTGGAATTTAAACCCAGGTACTCCAGTATGAGATGTGGACATTCTGTATAGCATTTTAACTGTTACATCAAACATTGTGTGGCTGTCATTTTTATTGTTAAGTCCAAAGTAGAAAAGTTTTGTTGCTGGATGTCCTTTGGCTCTCCTACTGTGTGTTCACTTGAATACTGTAAAAGTTTCTTCTTGACATTTCAGTAGCATTCTCAGAGTTAAGATTCCCATCCTTCGCTGTTTTCTGAGAAGACCACCACATACATAGAAACCTCTTGGCCAAAGTCCAGGATGGTTTTGTAATTGCTACAGGTGTCTATTCCTATAGGCCTCTGAAAAGATTGTTCACACCTGTGTCCTTGGCCATTTCATGGCCCCTTTACCATCTGAGACGTGGAGTGTTTGTTTATCCTTTTGCTCTAAATAAGACAAGATTGGCTGCTTGTTGCTATTCTTTCTCTTTTATCACAGCAGAATTTTAGCTGTGGAACAGAGGCCTGGCTTTTTTCTTTCTTTCTTTCTTTTTAAGATTTATTTATTTGAAAGAGTCAGAGAAGGGGAGAGAGAGCTGCTGGTTTGCTCCCCATATGGCCACAGTGGCCAGTGCTGGGCCAGGCTGAACCCAGGAGCTTCATCTGAGTCTCCCATGTGGGTAGCAGGGGCCCAAGTACTTGTCATCTGCTGCTTTTCTCAGGCCATTAGCAGGGAGTTGGATCTGAAGTAGAGCAGCTGGGAATCAAACTGGTGCCCAAATGGGATGTTGGCATAACAGGTAGCAGCATTACCCGCTACACCCACAATGCTGGCTCCAGCTTTTTTCTTTTTAATTTAAATTTTTAATTTTATTTATTTGAGAGGCACAGAGAGAGACAGAACGTGCTCCCATCTCCAGTTCATTCCCCAGATGCCTGCAATAGCCAGGGGTAGACCAGGCTAAAGTTGAAATACAAGAACTGAGTCCAGGCCTCCCTCACAGGTGGCAGGAACCCAACTACTCAGACCATTACCATTGTCTCCCAGGGTCTGCACCAGCAGGAAACTAGAGTCAGGCCAGAGCTGGGCATTGAATCAATGTACTTTGATATTGACTGCAGGCCCCCTAACCATTAGGCTTGATAGCTGCTCTAAGCTTGCTTTTTTTGAATTAAAGCTCTAATGAGGGAGATCTTCCTCCTAAGGATTGGCTTGGTACCAGCTCAGAGCCTGTGAAGTGAATACTGTAATGATGTGCTTTCCAGAGCCCAAAGGGAGCAGTGGGGGTTATGGCTGTGGAGCAGCTGCCTTGCAGCCCAAAGGAGGACTTTTCCAAGGAGGAGTGCCCAAGCTCAGACCTGTGGGAGCCAAGGATGCTTCAGGTACCTAATAGATACTTCTTCTTCTTTATTCTTTTTTTTTTTTTTAAAGGTAGAGTTACAGCAGATAGAGGGAGAGACAGACAGAAAGGTCATCCATTCACTAGTTCACTCCTCAAATGGCCACAACGGCCAGAACGGCACCAATCTGGTGCCAGGAGCCAGGAGCTTCTTCTGGGTCTCCCATATGGGTGCAGGGGCCCAAGGACTTGAGCCATCTTCCACTGTTTTCCCAGGCCATAGCAGAGAGCTGGATTGGAAGAGGAGCAGCTGGGACTAGAACCAGTGCCCATATGGGATGCTGGTGCTGCAGGTAGACGCTTAGCCTAGTACACCACAGCGCTGGCCCCCTGGTAGATACTTCTTAGGTTATTTCCCAAGTGTGTTAATGATGATTTGTCCCAAGTGGGCCATCTTGGATTGAGGCGTGTGGCTCAGGTGGGAGGAAAGAGGAGTGGAAGCAGGGGAGAAGTTATAATCAAAAGCAAAAACTGAGGGATTCAAGAAAAATGTTGGATAAAGAAAATATATAGATATACAAGAGAATATTGCTTAGCCTTAGAGAAGAAAAGTTTGTCCTTTGTAATGACATGGATAAACCTGGAGGACATTATATTCACTGAAAGAACTCAAGCACAAACACCACATAATTTCCATTAGATAGGAGATTTGAAACAGTTGAACTTGTAGAAATAGAGTAGGATGCTGGGAGGTGGTAAGACAGGGTATGGGGCAAAGAGAGATGCTGGTGAAAGGGTACAGGGCTTCAGTTAGGTGGGAAGAGTTAAGTTTTAGTGGTGTAGTACACAGCATGGTGAGTATAGTTAATAATATGTATTTCAGAATTGTGAAAGTAGATTTTAAATGTTTTCACCACAAAGAAGTATGTGAAGTGATGGACATGTTAAATCAGCTTGACTTGTGCATGTGACTGTGTCCCCCATGGATGTATACAATTATCATTTGTCAGTTAAAAATAAAATACAAATGTACTCCACTTGTATCAGCAATATTTGTTAGTAGGCCCTGAGTCGGAAACCCGATTAAAAGCAGAACTATATAGGTACTGTCCTTGCCGCCATGGAGTTTGCACTGAGGAGGCTGGGTAGAGATACTGATAGATATGCTATGCTCTGTTGACCAGTGTTGTCTGATGTGTTTATAGAGAATCCAGCTGGTAAGCCAGCTCTACAAGTCCCCAGTTCTCGAGCTGCCGCCCCCAGGCCTCCAGTGTCTACAGCCAGCGGGCGTCCTCAGGATGATACAGACAGCAGTCGAGCCTCACTCCCAGAACTGCCGCGGATGCAGAGACCCTCTTTGCCAGACCTCTCTCGGCCTAATACCACCAGCAGTACTGGCATGAAGCACAGCTCCTCTGCCCCACCTCCGCCCCCCCCAGGGCGGCGTGCCAATGCACCCCCTACACCTCTGCCTATGCACAGCAACAAAGCCCCAGCCTACAACAGAGAGAAACCCTTGCCGCCAACACCTGGACAGAGGCTTCATCCTGGCCGAGAAGGACCTCCTGCTCCTCCCCCAGTCAAACCACCTCCTTCCCCTGTGAATATCAGAACGGGACCAAGTAGCCAGTCTCTGGCTCCTCCTCCACCGCCTTACCGCCAGCCTCCTGGGGTCCCCAATGGACCCTCCAGTCCCACTAATGAGTCAGCCCCTGAGCTTCCACAGAGACACAATTCTTTGCATAGGAAGACACCAGGGCCTGTCAGAGGCCTGGCACCTCCTCCACCCACCTCAGCCTCTCCCTCTTTACTGAGTAATAGGCCACCTCCCCCAGCGCGAGACCCTCCCAGTCGGGGAGCAGGTAAGTGCTTGGAATTACCTTTTTTCCTTGTCCATGCTCTGACCTGAGTTTTTTTCTGTTTAGCCTTTTTCCCGAAGCACTCCTTTAGTGATTGAAGAAGATAAGAATTTATTCATTCATCTGGGTTATTAAATGCCTTTTTATGTGTCAGACTCTGTTGTTGGGTAAACAGCAATAAAATAGCAAACAGAAATTTCCTGTTCTGGACAGCAAACAAACTAGTGAAATATGAAAATACATAGCACATAGTATGCTTTATGGAAATACAAAGCAGAGAAGGGGAATAAGGTATCTTGGGGTAGAGGTAGGGTAATGCTACTATTTTTTGAGAGGCAGAGAGAAAACTCTGAGCTAGTAGTTCACTCTTCAATCACCTACAATGGCTGGGACTGGGCTAGGGTAAAAGTGATAAGTCAGGAGCACACCCAGGTCTGCCAAGAGGGTGGCAGGAATCCAGTTACTTGACACATCACTGCTGCCTCCCAAGGTCTGCACTGGTAGGAAACTGGAGTCAGGAGCCTTAGCTGAGAGTTGAACTCAGGCACTCAAGTATGCAACACAGGCAGGTGTTTTAACTACTAGGCTGAACACACACTCTGGTAGTGATGCATATATGTTTTTAAAATATTTATTTATTTATTTGAAAGAGAGAAGGGGAGAGACAGAGAGAGGGATCCTTCATCCAGTGGTTCAGTCCCCAGGTAGCTGCAACAGCTGGGGCTTGACCAGGCTAGAGCCAGGAGCCAGGAGCTGCTTCCAGGTCTCCCAGGTGGGTGCAGGGATCCAAACACTTGGACCGTCTTCTACTGCTTTTCCTGTTAGCAGGGAGCTGGATTGGAAATGGAGCAGTTAGGACATGAACCGGCAGCATATGGGGTACTGGCTTTGCAGGTGGTGGCTCAACCCTCTGTGCCATAATGTCAGCCCTTGAAGGAGTACTTTTTTTGTTGTTGTTGTTAAATATTTATTTATTTATTTGAAAGGCAGAATTACAGAGAGGGGCAGAGAGAGGTCTTCCATCCACTAGTTCGCTCCCCAAATGGCCAGAGCTTGGCCAATTTGAAGCCAGAAGCCAGGCGCTTGCTTCTTCAGGGTCTCACACATGGGTGCAGGGGCCCAAGGACTTGGGCCATCCTCTACTGCCCTCCTAGGCCACAGCAAGGAGCTGGATTGGAAGTGGAGCAGCAGGGACTCGAACCGGCACCCATACGGGATGCCAGCACTGCAAGCGGCAGCCTTATTTGCTACGTCACAGCGCCAGCCCTGAAGGAGTATTCTTGACATATCTTGGAAATAGCAAGGTGACCACTATGGCAGAAGTGATATGAGTAAAGGGGAGAGTGGTTGGCTAACAGAGGTCAGAAAGCTAGATCTCCATGGGAAAACATTAGAGGACTTTGTAAAGACTTTGGAGATTAACCATGTGTGATGAGAAGTCACTGGAAGGGTTTTATTTTTTTCTTAAATTTCATTTTGTTTATTTGAAAAGCAGAGAGAGAGACATTTCCCATTCAGAGGTTCACCTCTCAAATTGCTATCAACAGTTAGGGTTGTGCCAGGCCAAACCCATATACCTAGAACTCAACTGGAGCCATCCCCTGCTGCCTCACCCCCTGCGCATTAGCAAGAAGCTAGAATCAGAGTGGAGCAGAGACGTGAATCTAGGCACTCTGATGCAGGCATCTCAATTGGCATCTTAACTACTACACCAAACACTGGAAAGTTTTGAAGAGAGACGTGGTAGGCTTTGATTTACCTTTAAAAAGATCATTAGCTTCTTTGTTGACAACAGACTGCAGGAGGACAAGGGTGGCCAAAGGAGACCACTTGGGAGGCTATTGCCATGGCCTGGGCAGGTGGTTAAGACCATAGCCAGTTTGGTGGAAGATAAGTGTCCAGTTTGGACAAGTTCAATATGAATTGCTATTAGCTATCCAAGAGGAGAAAATGACCTGATTTGCTGTCAAACTCTGAAGTTCAGGGGAAGTGTCTGTGCTAGAGATAAATTTGAATGGTATTGAAAACTTTGTGCTAGATGAGATCACACAGGGAGTGAGTATGCATAGGAGGAGGATGGAGGCTTGGGGCCCTCCTACATTAGGGTCAAGAGAAGTGAAGCTTACCAGTAGAGTACACTCAGAAAAGCCTCCAGTGAGGAAGGGAGGAACAAAACCTAGAGAGATGGAAAAACTCCATTGGAGGGACCAGCGCTATGCCATAGCAGGTAAAGCACCCGCCTGTGGTGCTGGCATCCCATCAGGGTACTGGTTTGAGCCCCAGCCATTCCACTTTCTCTCTCTCTTTTTTTTGTTTTTTGTTTTTTGTTTTTTTGGTTTTTTTTTGACAGGCAGAGTGGACAGTGAGAGAGAGAGAGAGAGAAAGGTCTTCCTTTGCCGTTGGTTCACCCTCCAATGGCTGCCGCGGCCGGTGCACTGCGCTGATCCAATGGCAGGAGCCAGGTACTTATCCTGGTCTCCCATGGGGTGCAGGGCCCAAGTACTTGGGCCATCCTCCACTGCACTTCCCTGGCCACAGCAGAGAGCTGGCCTGGAAGAGGGGCAACCAGGACAGAATCCGGCGCCCCGACCGGGACTAGAACCCGGTGTGCCGGCGCCGCAAGGGGAGGATTAGCCTAGTGAGCCGCGGCGCCGGCTCTCTTTTTTTTTTAAAGATTTATTTATTTATTTGAGAGGTAGAGTTGCAGACAGTGAGAGGGAAAGACATAAATGTCTTCCATCTACTGGTTCACTCCCCCAAATGGCCACAATGGCTGGAGCCGGGACTATCTGAAACCAGGACCCAGGAGCTTCTTCTGGGTCTCCCACGTTGGTGAAGGGACCCAAGCACTTCGGCCATCTTCGACAGCTTTCCTAGGCCATCGCAGAGAGTTGGATTGGAAGAGGAGCAACCAGGACTAGAATTAGCACCCATATGGGATGCCTGCACCACAGACGGAGGATTAACCTGTGCCACAGTGCTGGCCCCTGCTCCACTCTCAATCCAGCTCCCTTCTAATGTGCTTGTGATAGCAGCGGAGGATGGCCCTAGTGCTTGGTTCCTGTACTCACATGGGAGACCCAGAAAAAGCTCCTGGCTCCTGGCTTTGATGGGCCCAGCTTTGGCCATTGTGGCCATTTGGGGAGTGAACCAGTGGGTAGAAGACTTTTCTCTCTATCTTTGTCTCTCTCTGTGTCTCTCTGTCTCTGTCTCTCTCTGTCTCTCTCTCTCTCTCACTCTGCCTTTCAAGTAAATAAATAAATCTTTAAAATAAAGACTCCAAGGTAGACTGTTCAACTGTGTCCAGTACTGCAGATGGGTCAGGTAAGTTGGAGACTTGAGAACTGACACTGGTCTGAGCATCAAGAGTGACACCTGGGTCAATTCAGTGGCAGCATAGAGGGTGAAGGTGAAAGCTTAATAGTGAGTTCAAGAATGCAGGAGTAAGAGGGGAGGAATTGCAGATAGCATAATAGAAATCCCTTAGGGAGTTTATTGTAAAGGCTAGGGTGGGAGGGTCGAGAGTGTATATAAATGAAATGGTTGCCCACGGAGCATGTGGGCTGGAGGGTTGAAGTTTTTGTTTCATTATTTTCTCAAGTTGTGAGATGAGTTTGTTTGCTGATGAATTGAGTGACATGAGGCAGTAGAGAGAGGAAAAATTGAAATCAGGAGAGAGGTACCAAATTGCTGGAGTAAAAGAGGAGATGGAATGTAATCCTTGGGTAAGGGCTTGGCCTTAGATAGGAACACAGGTCATTCTTCCGTAGGACAGCGCGGGAGGTGGAGCATGAAAGCATAGAAGCAAGTAGGTGGATGTACTGGCAGAAGCGTGTGGCCAGCTTCTGATTGACTTGTGTTTTCTCAGTAAGAGAAAGCAAGAGCATCAGCTGTGAATGAGGTGAGGGAAGGAAAGGAAAGGCATGAAATGGTCATCTGGAGTGTGGGAGGGTGAGTGGACTAGGGACGGGTGCCGGGAAAGCCAGCCAGCCACGTGAGAGGCCCATGGGAGATTCTGGGCCATGTGTTTCAGATGGGATTAATCAGCATGGTGTGCATTTGCAGGTGCAAAATAAAAAGATGGGGTTGCAGTTAGCCAGCATTAACATTTTCTGGGCACATGGACTGTAAGGGAGAGTAGAGCACAGGAGTGGAGGGCGTGTGTAAGGGAGCGATTGTAGTAATGGACCCTGAAGCCTGAGCTTGCAGAGGGGCGGGAGTGGGAGAGGATTAAAGAACCCTAGTAGAAGAGGTTTTTTTGATTTTTTTTTTTTTTTTTTACAAAATGATATTAAAGTTTTGAGAGGGGCCAGACCAGGACAGCTCTGTGGGATCCTTTTGAACCTGGGAGTTTGGGTTCCTATATTAAACTTTGAACCAAACCCTTGACAAATGGCTTTTTTTTTTTTTTTAAAGATTTATTTATTTTATTTGAAAAAGTTACAGAGAGGGGGAGAGACAGAGATCTGTTGTCCTCTGGTTCACTCTCCAGATTGTTGGTAACAGCCAAAGCTGGGCCAGACAGAAGCCAGGAGCCAGGAGCTTCTTTTGGGTCTCCTGCGTGGGTGCAGGGGCCTGAGGACTTGGGCTGTCCTCCACTGCTTTCCCAGGCACATTACCAGGGAGTGAAATCAGAAGTGGAGCAGCTGGGAATCAAACCCGACACCCATATGGGATGTCGGTGCTGCAGGCAGCAGCTTAACCTGCCATGCCACAGCACCAGCCCCCACTGTGTCTTTAAAGCTTTTTTTTTTTTTTTAAGTTATTCTCTACAGATAGAGGATTAGGAAGTTATGCCATTATCCTGTGCTGCTGCTTGGTTGGAAACATAACAGATTTGTTCCCGAGAGTTGGCAGTACAACATAAGGGAGTAAGGGGCCAGTGTTTAGAGTAGTGGGCTGAATGTGGGTGCCAATTGAAGCCTTGGCTGCTCTGCTTTCTCCCTGCTATTATACCTGGGAGGGCAGCAAAGGATGGCCCAAGTGCTTCAGGAGCCAGGAAC